TCTGAGTCCACAGCCTGTCGACAGCTGGCCAGCGGCATGCCCAGAGACTCGGAAATCTTATCTCCAAGAGGCTGTCCGCCTGTACCAGGCGGGCCAGGCAGGAGAACCTCCCCCAGCTGCAGCCAGCAGCTGACACAGTGTGTGAGCAAGTGAGAGAAATATATGGTCCCACTGGGACTGGTACCACCTGGGTCATCTCCAGGCCCAGGGGTGGGTCAGTGGGGTTGGCAGGGGCTGTTGGAGGAGGGCTCTGAGGACAGTGGGGGTCCGGAAGGGAACACCTCCCCCACACTCCCACCCCGGCCCAACGCTCAACCCTCAGGGATGGGGACAGAGCAGGTTGGTGCCCCATTTATCTGCTTTCTGGCCCAGCCTCCTGCCAGGCTCTGCCCCACCCCCTGTGGCCACATGACCTTGGGTGGACCTTGCCTCCAGTGGGGACAAAGGGCAGAGGCCTGTCCTTGCTCACCTCGCTGCCTGGGCGCGCGCTCCGCCCTCGCTCTGGGTTGTTTCCGGGCAGAGGACAGCTCTCTCCCGACTGGGACTCAGCCCTCGTCCACCGTGCCAGCTGGGACCAGCCTGGCCCTCGCCTGAGCAGGAACGGGCCTGGGAGCCACCTGCAGGCCCAGGGCGGCCTGCAGTGATTGCTGGAGAGTGGTGAGTCTGGCTCGATTTCTGAGAACTTTGAGGAGGGGGGCAGAGTGTGTATGTGTGTGCACGAATGTGCAGTGTGTGTGTGACGTGTGTCTGTGTTGTATGTATGTATATGTCATTGTGTGAGGGTGTGTGACATGTGTCTGTGTTGTGTGTATGTAAATGTCAATGTGTGAGTGTGTGAGACATGTGTCTGTGTTGTGTGTGTATGTACATGTATGTATGAGTATGTGAAGTGTCTCTGTGTATGCGTTGTGTGTATGTACATATACATGTATGTGTGGTATATGTATATGTATGTGTGAGTGTGTCTCTGTGTATGTATATGTACATGTATGTGTGAGTGTGTGAAGTGTGTCTCTGTGTATGTGTTATGTGTAGTGTTGTGTGTATGTATATGTCAATGTGTGCATGTACATGTGCATCTATGTGTGTCAGTGGGCCTTTAAGGGGTGTGAGTGTGTTGCTATGTGATATGTATGTCTTTGTATGTGTATATATGTGTCTGTATGCATGCACGCACGTGTTCATGGGTGTCTCTCTGTGTGGTATGTGTCTTTGTAGCTATGTGTAGGTGGATGTTGATATGTGTGTCTTATCTCTGTGGCATGTGTATGTATGTATGCATGTGTGTACATGCCTATGTGTGTCTCCCTATCGGCTGTATCTCTGTGTGCATGTGTGTGTGTGTGTCTCTGTGGGGAGTTGTTTCTGTGTCTGTGTGTGTGTATGTGTGTGTGTGTCTTCCAAGACACATGTGCTGGTCTTTTAGCAGTCCACGGTACTTTCAATGTTCTTGCCAATGCCATCATTCAAAGGGGTCCTTTCTTCGCCGGTCTGGTCTGCCGATTCACAGTCCACCTTTCACCTGCATCTGTGGCCCCTGAAAAGACCATGGCTGGGCCAGGAGCACCTTAGTCTTCACAGTGACTTATCTGCTCTTTACCCTTTAAAGGGGTTTTTAAAGGGGTTTTGTGTGGCGGATTTGCCCGCGGTCACAAGCCGATTGATTGTCTGACTGCTGCTTCCCTGAGCCGTGGTTGTGGATCCACGTAAGATGGCATCCCGGGCCACGGCCATAGCCACGTGTCTCTGTTGATCGTGATGTTGTCCTCGGGTCCAGCTGTGATGATTTTTGTTTTCTCTGCGTTGGGGCGTCATCCATACCTAAGGCTGTAGTCTTTGATATTCAGCAGCATGTGCTTCAAGTTCCCTTTCCCTCAGCGATGAAGCTGAGACCCTGCGCACTGCCAGTCGTCAGTGAGCCTCCTCCGAGCCTGACGCCCTGCGCTTCCTCAGACAGCCCTTTGTTCAGCGCACAGAGGACCACGCCCGGGGAGAGGACCCGGCCCTGCTGCAGATCTGTCCTGATTTAAGAACACACAGCATTCTCTTGTTCTCGTTGAATGGCTGTCTCCTGTCTCTGTTCAGGTCCCACAAGAGCACAATTAAGTATTCTAAAATTGCCCTTCTTAGCAATGTCACTCATAATTTGCTATCATCGGCACAGCCAATTGCCTGTGAGAAATCTTAAAACTAAGCCAGACATATTTTTGGTGTTCTCTGCTTTTAGCCAAGATCCATCTGACATCAGCCACAATATTCTTCATTCTAGGACAGCAGTTCTCAACCTTCCTCATGCCATGACCCCTTAATACAGTTCCTCATGTGGTGGTGACCCCCAACCACAACATTACTTTCGTTGCTACTTCATAACTGTCATTTTGCTACTGTTACGAATCGGGCGACCCTTGCAAAGGGTTGTCCGACTCCCAAAGGGGTAGCGACCCACAGGTTGAGAACCACTGTTCTTGGCCCTCTTCTGGAGCCATCTTTAATGGACAGGTACTGCTGCACCCAGTTTTGTGTTGTCGTCTGCAGAACTTTGCTTGCAGGGGGAGGAGTGATAGTGTTGGGTGCTCTGTGTTCTGTGGATTGCCTTCCTTGGGATGGGCTCCCACAGGCACTCTCCCAGCCAGTTACTGCAAACTCACTGCCACTGAGGCATTTCTGACCCACAGCCACCCCGTCAGACTGGGTAGAACCGCCCCGCAGGGTTCCCGAGACTGTACCTCTTTATAGGAGAAGACAGCCTCGTCTTTCTCCCGTGGAGTGGCTGGTGGATTCAAACTGCTGACTTTTCACTTAGAAGCCCTGCGCATAGCCTGCAACACCACCAGGGTTCCTTCATTTTGCTCCTAGCCTCCCTCAGGGGACTCACCACGATCCTCTCAGACAGGGTAGCACTGCCCCTGTGGGTTTCCAAGACTGTAAACCTTGACAGGAGTAAAAACCTCATCTTTCTCCCAAGGAGCAGCTGGTGGTTTCGAACTGCTGACTGTAGCTGCTCAATGCATGGCCCACCAGGCCACCAGGCATAGCCCACCATGCATAGCCCACCACAATGCATAGCCCACCAGGCCACCAGGCATAGCCCACCAGGCATAGCCCACCAGGCCACCAGGGCACCTTCATTTTGCCCTTCGCCTCCCTCCGTGCTAGGCTGGAGTTTCTCTTCCATTCTCCCAGCTAGAGAAAGGCCAAGTGTGTCCCTCGGTCTCCGTGTTCTGACTCTGGGTCTGCGCACATTTCATGAGGGTGCTCTGCCTTCCCAAGCCACCCTTCCACATTCCCGCTCGGCTGTTTTGTTTCTTCCACTCACTGTAGCAAGTGACAGTCTCCTCTGGCGTCCGCTTGGCCCGGGGAGCTGTGGGTTGTCCTCAAGGTCACCCCTCGTGGAGAAGAGAAGGCAATGAGAGTCATGACCAAGGACCAAAGAACCCACACGCGCTGCCGATGAGCCGATGTCCACTCTCAGTGACCCTACCGGACAGGGTAGAACTGCCCCGTGGGTTTCTGAGACTGTAACTCTTTACAGGAGTAGAAAGCCTCATCTTTCTCCTGCAGTGACAGACGGCATCTCTGAACAGATGGTTAGTGGCCGTGCAAGCCGCACGCAGGTGGGGCAGGCGGTGAGCAGGCTCTGCCCAAGAGCATCCTGGCGAAATCCCGAGGAGGGTGAGGTGGCTCAGAGGCTCCTGTGGAACGTTTCTCTAAACAAAGGGCACCAACCTCATCCCGGTCTGGGTGCGCCTCTTACCCCACAGAAAGCTGCAGCTGGGTGCAGCCTTCCCCGGGAAGGAGCGAAAGGAAAAAACAAGGAGAGACCCAGTAACGGGACGCGATTCAGCCCGTGGGGCCGTCACTGGAATGTCTGTGGCCGCGACACATGATGCTTTTGAAGTATAAATAGCAACATGGAAGACCGCCTCCCATAGGATGTTACAATATTTCTTCCTAAAGAAGACCGGCTGCAATGGGGTTCTTGGAAACCCTGAGTGTTGCTTTGCTTGCTTTTGGGGTTCCCAGGGAAAGACCGGAAGAGCAGGGGGACATTCAGGATGGCATCAGGGGTCTCTTTCTCTCTCTCTCCCATTTTGACAATTGTGAGTCTGTTTTTATGGCAAATTATTATTTCAGAATCCAGGAGGAATCGGGCATCATAGCAGTAACACTCATCCGCCCTCCGCTTCATTAGGTTCATTCAGACAGTGTTTTGGGCTGGAGATTTTCTTGACATAAGACAGGTTTTACCAGGAGGAAGGTGGGAACAAAATAAAAATAAATGAGTCGTTGTAATCATAACAGTAATAAGCCACCAGGCCGGTTCTGACTCCTGCTGGCCCCATGTGGGTCAGTGTGAAACTGCTGCCTGCCCTGGATTTGAAAGGCGGACCTTTGGGACTTCAACTGCCAGGCATTCCTTGCAAGGATCTTCTGGGTGGACTTGACCCTCTAGCCGCTCAGTTGGCAGTGAGCTCGTTGACCATTGGCAGCCCCCAGGCCAAGAACACTCGCAGGGTCTCTTTAGGTATTTGGGGATCATTGCCCTGGGGCAAGTTCTAACTTCCTCTTGATGTAAACTGACTTCACCCAGAGGCGGCATCTTTCCCCCTCAGGTGCCTGTAAGTGCTGCAGGCCAGGGAGATGGCCTTCTCTGCCGCAGCCTGGCCGAGTGGCCCTGGAGGTGCAGTGGGTTATGCACTGGGCTGCTAACTGCAAGGTTGGCTGTTTGAAACCACCAGCTGCTCCTTGGGAGAACGAGGAGGCATTCTACTCCCATATTAATATACAATGATAGGAATATAGGTCTGTGTACCTATATTTATAGGTTAAGTATTAAGGTAGCAGACAGATGTTGGGTCTCTACTCAAGTCCTCCCTCAATGCAAGAACACTTTGTTCTAATAACCTGGCATTCGCTGTGATGCTCACCTTCCCGACCTGATGGCTGAAGACAAAGTGGGTGCATAAGCTAATACGTGGTGAAGAGAGCTGATGGTGCCCGGCTATTAAAAGATATAGCACCTGGGTTCTTATGGGCTTGAGGTTAAACAAATGGTCATCTAGCTGAGAAGCAACAAAGCCCACATGGAAGAAGCACACCAACCCTTGTGATCACAAGGTGTCAATGGGATCGGTTATCAGGCATCTGAAGACCCCAAACAAAAAACCATTTTGATGCAAATGAGGGGGGTTGAATGGAGACCCAAAGTCCATCTGTAGACAATTGGACATCTCCTTACAGAAGGGTCACAAGGAAGGGACGAGCCAGCCAGAGTGCTTTATAACACTGACAGAAACACACAACAATCCTCTAGTTCTTTAATACTTCCTCTCCCCAGTTCTACCTTACAAATCCAGCTAGACCAGAGCATGTACACTGGTACAGATAAGAGCTGAATCCAGGACAGACAAACCCTTCAGGACCAATAATGAGAGTAGCGAGACCACGAGGGTAAGGGGAAGATGGGGAAAGAAGGGGGGAGAAGGGGGAGCCAATCGCGATGATCTAAGGATAAACACCACCACCCCCACCCCAGCGGGACGTACGACAGAAACGTGGGTGAAGGGAGAAAGTGGATGTAGAATATGAACTTAATAATAATTTATAAATTATCAAGGGTTCACGGGGGTGGGACAGTAGGGCAGGGAGGGAAAAAGAGGAGCTGATATCGAGGGCTCAAGTAGAAAGAAAAAGTTTTGGAAATGATGATGGCAACATATGTACAAATTTGCTGTAAGAGCCCTCAATAAAATGATTTATTAACAAACAGAAAGTTACCGTCTCGGAAACCCACAGGGGCGTTCCACTCTGTCCTGTGGGTCCCCGTGACCTGGAATTGATTCGATGGCAGTGAGTTTTGGTTTGGGGTGGCCGGGCAAATCCTGAAACGCGATTCTTAAAGATGGGTTATTCCTTTGGTCATCCTTGGTGTTAAACAAACCCAAACTCACTGCCATGCAGTTTGATCCAGACTCATGGGGTGGGGGCGGGGGCACACTC